TTTACAAAACCCTGCAGATTTCAAGGTACCTGAAAAAAATCCACAGACAAGAAAGCAAAAACGAAAACTGAATAATCTAACTGCAGGTGACGGTGTGAAAATGGTCTGAGGTTACAAAAGGCTGAAATGTAATTCAAATAAAATTTTTTCTAATTAGTAATTACTTCTGTAAGAAAAAGTTTCTTAGTAGGATAGATACTATACTACTGAGTGTGTCATACACACCTGTCCCAGCCATAAACAAAAAGCTGTGACGTAAGGCTTGCATAGATGCTTCACCCCTTATGCAGCCAAATGTCTATGTGAGAATGTACAAAGAGCACTGGCTTCTAATAGTTTAATTACTTTGTCTATGCATTCCGTTCCAGGAACAAAGCCCTTGTGAAAGTAGTGGCAGAGAGCAAGAAGCACAGTTTATGTAGCCCACCAGCTACCTAAACACGTTTATTTGCGATTAGTGTTTTTCTCTTTAGAATTCTGAGAGATTACTAAGAGAAATAATCCTAATAAGATGCAAGTCTGGAAAATACTATTTACATTAGGAGAGAAAGAGTCCTTCCTCGATACATCTGAACTTTCCAGAAAGATCTCCAAACTCCATATAGCAAAGATATTTCTGACACAGGTTGACAAAGGTCACTACAGACTCCGGAAACGAATCCTCTCTAATGGTGGATGTAAAACTGCAATTTAGTTCAGATCACAGGACCACTTCTAAAATTAACCTCCTGATCCTCCTCACTTACTACATTTTACATCACACAGCTGTATTAGAATGCACAAACTAGACTCTTTTCAGATGAAACTGAAGATATGACTCAGGTCTGCAGATGCAAATGGGAATTTAGTCCATGGCATCAGACTAGGATCAGTCTGAAGCGTTACCTTGTCAGAGAAAATACAGAGTGTATTTCCTCCATCAGCAACAGGTATTTTTCTCTACAAATATGCTCTTATTGAGCCATATCACACATGCATCTTACCCTTATAGCCTAACTTTTACTATTAAAATATCTGATTGGGAGGCGGGGGGAAGGAAGACAGAACCTCTATTGGACTGTAGGTTCTCTTTGAAGGGATGTTGGGCAATAATGCTTGCATCTTACTGGTGCTACTGACTGTAGGTAGTATGTACACTAGACATAGTCTTCAAGAGTAGATGGTGTTAAAGCACTCTCCCATGTTAATTGCTTGAAATGTTACAAAGGTTTTGTTTTAAGAGATTGGATGACAATGAAAGAGCAGGAATATGTATATTGAAAATCTGTTGCCCGCAGAATGCAGAAGATCATCAAAAACTGACATAAAATCTTCCAGTCATTTGAAAATGCCTTAAAACCCAAATGAGTTTTCCCAAATACAATGAACAACAAAATGCAACTGAGATGGAAACAGATCTTAAAGCCACATAAATTGCCAAAGAGAGATTTTCTTCTTTGTTGAATTCTGTTTTATGGAGAGTTTAAAAGGTACTAATCAAATGGAAAAATAAGTGCTTTTCATTTCTGTAAGTGATTGCATATCATACATTCTTAGAATATACATGAAGGTTTCTGAATTAATACTGATTCAAACTCCCAGCAGAATGATTTTCTCCCAGTGAAAACCATTATCTTCATTCTGATAGGATTTAGTCTAGTCTATGCTTGAAAACCTTTGCTGATATAGAGAAGTTAGTTAAGACTGATATTTTAATGACATTTTATGACATTTCCCGCCAGCAAAAGTCCTTGTACAGATACCGTTACATAAAACTCAGAAACTTATGAAAGCTGAACTGTCAAAGGCACTTTTTTGCAAGTAGGAATTGCATCAACTCTGGGAAGGGATACCCACATAGTGAGAAAAAGTCTTTGTTCAAATACTGCCAGGGCAATAAACCTGAATATATCACAAGGGAACATCAGTGAGTGATAATCTAGCACAGTGGAAATGGGATCATATATTTCAGTGGAGTCTATATTCAGACTGTTAAGGATGCTGAGGTGCAGGTCCCCATGAGAAAAAGTGGCAACAAATTCTTTTCAGTCAGTAATTTGCAGCAGCCATTTTCTGGCTCCTACCCTTTATCGATACATGCAACAAAGATATTTCAACTCATGCCTTCAACACAGTAGCAGTATATGTAACGAACAGTCATATACAGAGGGCTTTCCTCTAGAGCTCCAGACCCCAGAGGTTCCACACTCAGAGATCCATGTCGTCTGAATGGATATTCAATGTTAAAGGACGGTATACAAGACCCTCAAGCCATATTATGTCCAGATAAAAACAAGTTCAATGGAAAACATAGCTCTGAGAAGAACACGGAACATACAAGGGAATCCCTTGCTTTGAGATCTTGTCTTACTGTTACAAGAAAACTTAGCAGCAGAATCTGTGTAAACACCTATTTCTGATTAAAAGACTTCAGAATGAGTGATGTCTGTGGTTTTAGTAGGGAGAAAAATTACCTTCTAAGCACCAAACAAGGTTTGAGGTAACGGGACCTCTCTGTGATGTGGCTGCTAGTTGAAACCCTTTTGCTTTGGTAGTTTGTGGTTAGAAATAGTGTGAAGAATAAATGGCTAGAGGTAGGGGAAGAAATGTTTCAAAAAGCTGCACACAGTGAGGTGATGCTTAGAGGGAAAATTTTAATATGAATGTTAAATGTTTTCAGAAATAATCTTTCAGAAACTTAATCTTTCAACTCAGCATGTTTTTCTCTAGTTCTCCAAATTTCCATCATGGAGAAGCATCCCTACCTTACTTCAAAAGCCTTTTTGAATATCAAAATACATTCTGTGAGTAGTAGTTCACACCATATGCCTCTGGAAATCAGTTCTCTACTACACAACTTTTTTGTAACTTTATCTGTTTTCTGCATGTAAGTCATCTAATAATGTAACTGCAAGAATCTGGGGTAGTGGTATTGTCTCTAGTAGGCCTTACTTTAGGGGTGAGAAGATTCTGTGATTACGAACAGAAATAAGACACCAGTTATAGGCAATAGTGAGAAATTAATCTGTTGAATTTTAGCTAGATTGTTATTAGTGATATTCCTATAGAAATATGATAGATTAAACAAGCATTTTATTTCACTTTTAGCATTTCCATTTATGGAGATACTCTCCTTCCTAAGAAACTTATTCAACTGCTAGACTTTCTGCTGGTCCTGAAACTTTATGGCATATTATTTAGTTCTAATTCACCATACAGAGAATCAATTTCCTTATTTATGTTGATAATCTTGGTGCACTTATGATTACCGTATGTTTAAACCTGGTTGATAATGTTACAATCTAGCATTCCCCGAGTGCAGTGAGGCTGGTGCAAAATATATATCCTTATTAGGTAATTTCCTGTGCTAAGAGACAGTGCAGAAATATCCTCCAGCCTATGAAATATAGTTGCATTCCACTTTAATAGAAGCCTCTCTGTGTAAAACACTAAGTTTTTAAATGTTTCAGAAGCTGCTTAAGCTATCTTTCAGAGTGTCATGAATCAGATAGCATATCTTCTTTATTCTGAATAGCCTTTTTAATAGACACACAATTTCCACAGTTGCTTTTATCGCCTATTATTCAATTACCCACTGTAAGATGTGTGTGTGCTATTGTTCACTCCTGTCTCCTCTGTTTGCACTGAGTTTTATCATCTGAGCTATACTTTACTTCTCTCCCTTCTCCCCAGAAGGTTTGCTCACTTCCAGGCTGGTATCCAGGGGGAGACTTGAGAATCATCTCAGAGAGAGAACTGGACTGTTAAGCAGCTTGGTTAATTCTAGGTTATAATCAAGAATTCATGATATAAATAAAATAAGAATGAAATGCTTATGTATCACCTCATGCTGATGAAATTCAGTTTGGGGCTTAAAGAGTTAATCATGTTCTTGATGTTATCCCATTGCTAATATGGTTTGCTTGTTGAGTTCCTGAGGCTGGGGAACGAGAGGAACTTGTGAGCCGTCTGGTTTTACCACTGTATAGGGGAGGAAGTCTGTAGTGGCTGAAATTCCCCCTCACACATAGACCCAGGTGAGTGGTGAGCAGGCTGCTTTCAAGAGCAGAACCTGTGGCACATGGGCATAGATTGAAGGGGAACAACCCAGACAATGAAACTTCACTTTTCCAAGACATTAGTAACTAACTGCGAAGCAAGAAGGCATATTGCAAAATGAGAGTGTTCTCCCCTTGTAGAAAAGTCCCATTCCCTACACCCTGCCCCCTGGCCACTGCCAGCACCTCTGTAAGAAAGTCATTTGTTCACAGCAGCCAAATGCAAGAACGGTGGGATGAAGAGTGTGGAGAACATCATGTGAGAAGAGCTAACACAATATCTCTGCAAGAAATTTCTGTACCTGACTCTTTAGACAGAAGTCTATAAATTTCATTCTCTACTTGCTGTTGAAGGCACTCAGGACCTGAGAGAAGTCAAGTCATTGCGTGGGACATGTAATACTTTCTCCTTTTCCCTACTCACTTTCTCCTTGCAGGAGTTACAAAAGAAAAGAATCCACAAGAAACAAATAAGAAGACAAAGTGTCTTTCACTGAAACAATTACTCTCTTGCAAAGTTTATGACAAAAGTCTCACGAGCATAATTTCAGTGTTTTGTATAAACCTAAGACTGTATATTTGAAACTGCATACTCTTTTTTTCCTACCTACTAACTATTGCCACGTAATTTCAACACGGGACTATTATTAAAGCAAGTCTATGCCACTGCACTGGCCTCACAGAAGTTGTCAGGACTGTGTCTTTATGATATACCATTAAACCAGAGAACAGCACCATTGTTATGGTTCATCTACAGCTAGAAGCACATAGCCTTCCACAGAGTGCTGCACCCATATGCTTGTTTATTGGTAGCAGGCCTGGGCTCTGGGTATCTGATTATACAGTAGCACCTGCCCATGGCAGATCTGGCCGAGCACAGACTTCCTGCTGCAGCACCGCAGCTCCATAAATGAGAGAGATTTATGCAAACTGGCTAAAGTGTGATGTCACAGCGCTCTGATAGACCCAGGGACTATCTTCCTTCTACAGACATTTGATAAAATCAGGAACTTCACATACGACTTGGAAAGAAGGTCACCTCAGAACCTATTAGGGCAAACTATGAAAACTTGTTAGGGTCCTTCTCCTATCCTGAGATCCAGCACTGCAAAGGGACTTTACAGAGTCCGAGGATCTCAGCGGATCTCACTTTTTTCTTTTTTTCTTTTTTCTTTCCTTTTTTTTTTTTTTTAATGTGATTTTTTTTCAAGTCAGTTATGCTGGATGTTTGAAAACTGAATTAAGAAAAATACACTCAGAAGTTGGCTGAATGTTGCAAGCTTGCAAAATGGAAGGATTTCCCCTTATTCCCCCTGTGAGTATATTTGGTTTATTCCTAATACGGATCATTGGGCTCAGTAGAAAAAGGCAAAATAAACCAGGTATTATTATTTGAGAATATCTGTGTTTTGGTCTGTATTTGTAGTGTCAGGAAGTTTGGTTTAGGTCAGTCTATAAAACTAGTGACAACATGGCAGTGAAAGGGAAATTAACATTTCCTCCCCAAACTTGTATCTGAATTTGATCTCCATTTGTTTTCACAGATTAAATGTATGGTATTTTTGTACAGCACAAATATAGCAAGCCAGTAAATCTCTTTTCTTCAGTGTTGCCTATGTGATATAAAGCCAATTCTTTCTTCAGATTGTAGTTATTAATTATCTGGAGTCTCTGACATAGTTTATGTATTTAACTGTCTACCAATCTGTGAAAGAAGAGTTGTTGAATGCTTATTTTGTGTATTGCGGATTTTAGAACTCTGTGCTCTTTGAAATGATGGCATTTTAGTTTCTAACTTCATCTCTTCTTGAACTGAATTCTCTTGAATTCACTTATCCTGAAAAAGTAATTTGCGGAGGAGAGGAAAAAAACACTCAGTCCTTATTTGGGAGTTTCAATGTTTTCTCTAAGGTATAAATTTTTCTGTGTGCTTATGAGACTGTTTTATCCTTTTCTTAACTCTGAAGCATTGTTGAACTGCTCTAGTTTATCTTATGGTGAGTTCAAAAATTATTATTTATGAAGAACATAATGTCACTAACCTGTTTTTCAGAAACAAACCTTAATGGGAAATCTCTAAGTAGAATGGATAAAAGAGGCCCCAGCTAGATTTCATTAGGTTTGTAGAAGCTGAGGAGGTGCCAGATCAGGTGGTTTACTTGGCTTTTTATGTGGTAGATGACTTACAGCAATTGCTATACATGTGTCAGAGCACAAAAAGAGACAATGCAGTTTTTTTAACAAAAACTTGTATTGAGTTTTCTATTTGTCTTGTCCCATTTAATGAAGGCTAAAGTCATATTTCCTTATCTTCCATCCAGAACAACAGTCCTTTGAATTCCTGTCATATTCAGTATTTATGCTGACTGAAAATATTTTTCTTTTTGTGGGAGACCCTTTATTCTCTCAGTTTACCATCAGTGTCTCTGATATTCTCTTAATTTATCATCAGTGTCCCTGAAATCCCCTATCTACCCAAAGGACAAGAAGACTTTAAAAATAATTTCTCTTAAGTACATGGAATTGCCCAATGGACCTACTGTAAGTGCATCAGAATAAAAATCTGAAAAGTAACTGAGAAAATGAAAAAGTACGCAAAGATTTCTCGATGTGTTGCTTGTTGGGCTTAAAAAAAAAAAAAGCAACATAAATCTTGTCCTCAACCACCCCAGAAATAAACATCTCCATAAAGAAAAAAAAGAAAAAAAAACAAGGTAATTTTATGTCCTTTCATTCACTCATAGACAATTTTTCTAGACTCTTTTTTTCAGTATTTAGTTCCAGGGCATATATTAAATAAATGGATTGAAAATCTAACACAGTTTCACTCCTATTCTAACCTGTGTTGCAATTAATATTCTGTCTGAACTCCTTTTGGATGAAAAATACAACAGGCAGTAAAAATACAACTACAGGCAGTAAAAATACAACTACACCTTACAGAAGCACTTGATAGGGCAATTTAAGTTTTATTTTTGTGAATAAAATGTCCAAAAATTAATAATTTGTTGTTTCTACTTTCAGAATTGCTTTAAGTGTGCTTTGGGCACTGCCAGCTAGAGACCTACATGTCTGTGTCTCCTGGGGCTTTTTCAAAGGGGAGACATAGGCCTGTTTCTAGGCAAGGGTTTCTGCTGCAATACTTCCCTCCTCCACCCTCCCCGTTCAGTTGAGGGTGGGTCTGTAACTGCCTTCCTCTTGACTATGCTAGGAAACTCTTACCCTTCACTTGGAAAATGGTTTAGGTTCATTATTTAAATGGTTTAGGAGTATTCTATCTTCATCTGAAAATTAGGAATTTTGTATGGGAAGTTCTGCAAACTGGCTCCATGTCTTCCAATGCATGAAGAACTAAGTTGTGCTATGAGTTAAAAAATTATTAAGTCAAACACATTGACTTAAAGAGGGTCCCAGTTTTACATGAATCTCTAAGTAGCCACCTTTGACTACTTAGCCGTAGTCACAGCTTTGAATTAAGTATTTTTGCATGAGAGCAAAAATGCCCCACAGAAGTACTCTGTTCCACATAACTGCATTGCCAACACGGTCCAGTGAGGCTGGCCCAATGAGTAATCATGCTAATATTTTTACTCATGTTCTCTAAAATAGTTATACTGTAATTTGTTTCCAAGAAAATACAGTCAATTTTGGCCTTAAAACTTGGCAGCACATCACTGGAAATTGTGTGAAGTATTTCTGAATCACGTGCCACTGAATAGTTATATCAAGGTAACAAAAAAAGATCATCATTTAATGAATTTACAATTGCCTGGAATCATCTAACAAAGTCTTGGTGAATAACAAGAATTTTCAGACTGCTATTAAGTTCAATATATCTCTCTTAACCAATGCCAACCATGCTTTCTCTGAGTAGTTTTGTGGCTTTTCCCTAGAGTTTCAGGCAAAGATGGAAGATGAAGGCCACTCTTCATTTGTGAAAGTCTGTGACAATTATGAGTTCCTAACAAAGCTTTCTGTCACTCTTTTACATGAAAACAACTGATAGCTTGTCATCAGTTATATATTACATTGTAACATAAGCCATTCTTTGTTTTTTGTCATGGGAAACAAAACAGTTCAGTGTCATGGAAGTGCTATCAGTAAGATGATGAAATGAGTGTGTGGGTGGGGACTTCCAGAGAAAGATGGGGCAAGTGGGTAAAGATTGGTAAAAGAGGCAACAACAGTACATGGAGAAGCCTCTTCTCTCTAACTAGAGAAAGAGTTTTTAATGAAACTTAAAAAAAAAGAACAACAACCCCCTATTAAAAAAAAAAACAACAGAAACAATTAAAAACAGATTATTGGAAATAGCTTCTCTAATAAATAGGAGAAAAAAATCCCACCTTCCCACAGGATAATCAGAGAGAATACATTCTATACTATCTCCTTTTACCACTATCTGATTAAGTTTTTGATAAACAAATTTTTAAATATTTAATATACCTCTTCCCCTGTTAGTTACTGTACTTTTGAAGATCAGACACCAAGATGGAAAATAGTGTCATTACAAGTCATTTGTGTGGACAGATTGGTCCAGGTTGCATGACTTAACAAGGATATACACATGCATATTTTATCAAATGAATCACTGCACAGAAAACTAATTCAAGGACAAAAATTCCAAGAATCCATACTAAAGACATTTTAAGCCCCAAACTTTCAAAACAGAGCTTATTACCCCAATGCCCTATATAAAAGCAGACTCTTAGATGGTGAGTATCTGTAACTCACTCTGCAGCCAGCTGGATCTGTAAATATTAAGTGAATCACTGTTTTAAGAGTCTATTTAGCACACCTTCCTTTAGCTCTAATCATTGAATACACATCTGAACTTGTAAAAGCAGCTTTTGAATGGTAAAATACTTCATTCTCAGCTCAGACTGTGAGACATTATTGCCTGTTAATGTATATTGGTCTGAAATGGGGGAGTTGGAAAATCTTTAGGAAGAGACAACAAAGGAAAAATATAATCAGGAAAAGTCAAATATTATTTCCTGTGTCTAAAATGTGTATTTGTTATCTACTTTTGGACTGATGTTTGGCCTTCTCACCAAGCTATACTTCTGTAAAGATGTGAGTGACAGATACTTTGATGTAGCTGTGGAAATTTTAACAAATTAAGCCTAGATTGACAGGAAACTGATGCCTTAGGAAATTTGTTTACTTTTGGCTAAATAATTATCAGAGTTACAAACTTGGATGCATTTAGCTATGATTTTTTTAAAATAATTTCTATCAGTTTCTAGTATTTTAGTTGAAAAGAAACAAAGATTTTTCTTTCAAACTATGTACCTTTATACGGCTTTTTTAACCTCCATTTTTCCCAATAACATATGCATTATCCATTTGGATGTTGAGGTCTCCCCTTTCATACAATATGAATGCTTTCCTTTGAGTTATAACAAATTTACCATTCTGAATATGAAGGCACAAGTTATATGTTTTTCAGGTTGGTGTTACTTAACAGGAAGTATATATTTATAGAAAGGAAATTGGGGAGTGAGTGAGCTAATTTGCAACGATAATGAAAAGTAGAAATTCCATTCAGAACTTTATCCTAAAGAGAGCAAACTACAGTCTCACTACTTTTTCTTGTCAGAGATCAGAGTACACCAAAGGTCGAAGGAATGGAGATGAGTAAATACATATAACCATAGAGAGAACACCAAGAAAATACGTAGAGAAAATCCAGAGGCATCAGGGAGAACGCACATTGTACTGACTTCTTTGACTACCCCTCTGAAATCTGGAAAACAGCTTAGCATTAAATCTCTGTGTAGATGAAGGGCAATTCTATCAGAATCACATAGATTTGGAAATGGAGACTGCGTCCATGTCCTCTGGAGACTAGAAATGAGAAGAGTCTCTTCACTGGTATTCCTGCTGTGAACACAATTAAATGACAGTTTGCCCCTTTTCCTTAGTCTTTCCTTTAGATTGTCTTTATTGTGGGTTGTCATCTTCTCAAGATTGCCCCAAAGCAATTATCCACCACCAACAGCTATATTTGGAGCTGACAGCTAGGCAATGGATTTTCTCCTGAGTCTTTGAATATTCCATGGATCTGATTCCCACTTAGTGTTTATTTTCGGGAAGCCATGAACTTTTAGACAATCTTACCAGTGCAATTTAATTATACATTAATACAGCACATGACTGCTACTAAGGATTAACCAAGGTCTAAAGTAAATCCTGAAAGTTTGGGTTTTTGTTTGTTTGTTTTTGTTTTGATTTGGTTTTGGTTTTCTTGTTTTGGTTTTGGTTTTTTTGGGGGGGCTTGGTATGTGTTTTAATATCTTAATCCTCAGAAAAAGACAATCTTTAAATTCCAAAATTCCAACAGAAAGCACTGAAGGAGTTAACCAGAAGAATTAAAGAAAAAAGTCTTTTCCTTTCGCTAGCAGCTTATCTACTACCTCCATCTGGATTTTAATGGCAGCTGCTACCTTAGGTTTCATGTTCTCAAGTAGTCTAGAGAAGGAAGAAAAGAGAAGCTTGCCTGCATTTCTGTCATGCTGTAACCATAGCATAAGCTTACAAAATGCAGATGTTCCAAAAATGAGACAGATTCATGGAGGGAGATAAAGGATTTGAGATATACAGATAGGTATATCAACATATAAACACAAAAAATATGTCCATCATGTAAGTTATCATGTTGTTTCAAATATTTGTCCTTTAAAGTTAGTTATGCTGAAGTCATTAATAGAATTAAAATGTTTCTATTAATACCTACTAGAAATAATTTCCTTTCAAAAGAAAAAACAAGAAGGTGTTTGAGTTCTCCTTTGCTGTTGACACCACAAGAATTTGTTCAGATTGGAAGAAAATATTGTAACAAACTTAACTCGACTAAAGTTTAACAAAACCCCATGGAGCACATTGTCCTTCTCTAACTCCTCACTCTGGAAAAAAACAAGAAGGAACATTAAGTGAAGCAATGAAACTGTGCAAAACTAATAATAAACAGATGACCTTTATTGCAACAACATAAGATCCTAATCAATATTCATACTGGAATACTAGGCCTGGGGAGAAAGAGAAGTGGGAAAGTAACCCTATATCACCTGTTCTAAGGAGACAGAGAGAACTTTAACTCTACAGTTAAGCATCCAATAGGTCACAACTCAGTATTTGCCCCACATTTGGAGTTTTTAAGCCTTCTCTGCACATATCTAAGAGCCCTGTGTAGTTGACTGGAACCAGAAAACATTTAGAGTTTATTTTGGACAAAAATCAAGAAAGAAAATGGTTTTTTGCCCTCTGTCAATGTTATTACCTGCATACAAACTGCCACCATTTAGTCAGATCTCCTAGAAATAATCAGAATATGTTTAGGCAAGTTTCAGCGTTCTCTTTTGTGTGCAATAATAATAATAATAATAACTATAATGACAACAATAACAACAATAACAACTATGACAATTATAACGATAATAATAACAATTAAAAAAATAATATAATGTTTGCTACTACCAAAGAAAATATTTCCCTGCCATGCTGTGCCTGATGTCCACAAGGACTCTAAAAAGTATCCTCAGAAGGCCCGGGTGTGGGATACTAAGGACTTGTGTATTACCACAGGACAAGTTCTGCTGCACAAACTGGGTGTCTTTTCTACTGGGATTACTCTTTTTCCTTTTTTTTGTTTTCAAACCAGTGTTTGGTGTCATGCATTTTATTCCTGCTGATTCAAAAATACCTTGAAATCTCCCCTTTCTTTCCCTAGGCAATATAAAATGGGTTGACATCACCCCTTCAGTAACTATGTGAATAATTTGGAAGAGATTTGTGTAAACTTATGGTTCTAAAAATTCCTCTTCTTTTTACAGCCCTCTGAAGATATGGTACCCTATGAGTCAGACCTCTACCGACAGCCCCATGACTATTACCAGTATCTCAACAGTGACGGAGAGAGCCATGGTGGTAAGTCAAAAAATATCTCCTTGGAGCAGAAAGGTTCATGGAAAACAGATTTAGGACATCCAAGGAAAGAATAAATTTTTTGCAGTGATCTATAATGTATAGACACAGATTTTCAAATCAGAAACCAACGTTATTTTATTCCACTTAATGGTTCTGTTCCAACCCAGCAACTGCAACAGGGTTTCTCTGAAACAGAGTTTTAAAAAGCACTCTATGATGCAAAGAGCTTCCAGGAAGATAGGATCTCATGATCTCTATCCTTCATTGTCTTTGCTGTATTTTTACTTTCCTCTGCAGATCAAAAGCACTCATCTTGTTTCACAACTCTTTGAGGACATGGATTTGCAATACTGTATTTCTCTTCTTGTGTTCCTATTTCCAATTCCTATCTGACTTAGGTCCTACATAAACTATTTTTGCCTTTATTTTAATTAGATTTCTTTGGTATTTGGCCTTTTTTACTCCATATATTTCTTTCTTTTTATGTCTTTTGCATGCTGCCACACCTAGCTTTAACTTTCACTCTTCCTCCAATACACCCAAGTACTTCCTCTCTCTAAATCTATGTAAAACTTCCTTATAGCTGTTTGTATGTAAACACAGTTCAGTATAAAAATGCTGTATAATTGTTTATTACTTCAATTTGTGTATGTGGTTTCAAAGCTTTGGTGTCTATATTTTGGTGTTTTCTGGGCACTGCACTGGACTCTAAATCAATGCAGAGGTGAAGTCTTGTTTTGTGAATTTTGCCTCCTGTGAAATACAACGGGTCCAGCAACACCACCCTGGAAATACCTGAGTCAATATTGACTCAGGAAGGAAAAGCACCGTTCTACTGTATTACTTGTCGCAGTCCCTGCAAATCCTGGAGTTTCCCTGAAAGACTCCCACTGATAGAGCAACTAGACCCATTTCTGTTTAATTTAACACATTAACTACTCACAGCATAGCACTGTTTTGCCTGTGGCAGCAGAAGCTATTTTAAGGAACAGTGAGTTACAGTAGAGGATTGTTCTGAGCATTTAGCTGAAAAAGATACCTACCTAAATTTGTTCTCTACATTGTATTCAAGAAATGTCAATGGCATTCTTAACACCTGGAGACAAAGAATTAATTCAGTTTTTATAAGTTATCTCACGGCATCTGTTAGTCACACTAATCAAACCCAGCAAATTCCGCATGGAAATTCAGGGTTTTTACATTATACCCTGCAGCTGTTTACACACTCATAAAATGAGGATAACATTGATTATCTCAAAAGGCAATTGTGACAATTAAACAATAAATATAAAAGATGCCTTGTAGGAAAAAGCTCTGGGAAATAACTTTTCTGTCATTACATCTAGGCTACCTCGAGCAGAAACATCCCTTTATTTTTCATAATTTTATCATCCCATCTGGTTTACTTCCCATTTTTCTGTTGGAAGGCTGTTCCTAAGGTACATTTCTCAGATCATTAACATGTTTTTACTCATCCTAATGAACACAACAAAAACTGAATAGTTGCCTATATGGGTTATAGTCTAAGCAGTACCTAAACACCCACTTTGAACAGAAATTTGTCTGTTCCCTAAGTTGTGTGCATTTGTCCAAAAGACCCAAAAAAACCCTGTTTAATGTTTTAAACTCCAACAGTAAGTTGTTATGGAAGAGGCAACTTGAGCCCAGCCTGAGCATTTCAATCAAATTTTTATTTATGAAAGCAACCATGTTGTAGTTGGTTGTGTCTAAATATCTAATGTGCCTTATGCTGTCCTGCATTTCTCACAGTCCAAAAAAGCCATGAACAACCAAAGAATACAGATGAAGACTGAAAACCATGAACTAACACATTTTTCTTCTTTCTTATAAACACTGAAAAAGTGAACTTTGGCTTTCATTTTGTTTACATGACAGAAGTAGTGGATCTTGAGAAGTGCCATGCAGAAGAGCAGGAAAGGGACGCCACAAAATACTTTCAGAAATATGTACTAAGCATTCAGAGCAATGAGGATAAAAGCACGGTGATTGAAAAATGGAAGGGAAAAGGAATAAATAAAGTACTGCAGTGACATCAGTGAAAGAGACAGAACCTGATCAGATGGGGGGGAAAAAGTAGAAAAAAGAACAGAGTTGTGAGAGAGGAGTTCAATTTGGGAGACAATGAGATCACTGGCAATGCATAGAAAATAATTTTGCAGGTCACTCAGTAGCACTATGGACCTCAATGTAAAACTACCAGTTAATGTAAATAGATTATACCAGACAGAAAAATACTTCTGATTATGCCGACAACGGACTGCTAAAGAAAGTTTTCCGTAATCATCAGACCACCTCTCTCACTGCTAGCAAATTAATTTTGTGAAAGGGAGATGGCAATATCTTAATCTGTAGATCTGTGTTACTTGCATTACTGTCACTTTCCTCAAACACAATGCTGAAGGCAACCCTTACTCCATATTTACAGGAAGAGGCATAAAAAGCTCAAAATCAGTGTGCCACTAATATAATACATAGGAAATCTTTGCCAGTAAGTGAACAGTAGATTCAAAAATGCACCATAATATGTTCATTACCACAGGTATTATGTGCAATTATTTTCTATACTGCAGTTTAGCTATTTTTTAAATATTGTAATAAACAGAGACACAGTCATGCAGGACAGAAGCTGCTTCAAGTGATCATGTATTAGTCCATCACCCAAGCCTGGGCTTGTAAGTCTGTAAATGTAACACAGCATATTTTGTAACACTAATGCAATCTTAGTAATTACAAAATTTCACTGCTGCTTTGTCTCTAAGTTATTACTAAACGTTATTGGTTTAGGAAAAATCACTTTTTGTATGAAGCTGAATGCTGACCCTTGTTCCTTTTGTTTCTAGCCTCATGGAACTTACTAGATCCCGTGATCTGGGGTTTTATTTTTGTCCCACCTCCTGGAGTAATATGATCATTTAAGAATCTCAACTTTGATTTTGTTAGGATCCTGGCTCATGCAGAAGTGGAGGAAAGTCCAAACATGCGAATCTTAGTCTTAAATGCCATATGAAAGAGAGAAAGAATTCCAAACTTCACTAAAAATCCCCTTTCCTCAAAGCCATTCTCATGATTTGTTGGGGTCTGACTCATAGGTATTTGAACATTTGGAATTATTAAAATAGTGAAGTTTGTAAAGTGGGAGTTAATAAGATCCTAATGTTATAGATAAGACTAGTGCCCTGCTTAGAAGCACAGCATTTCTCCCAAGAATGATTCTGTTCAAGACATTAATCAAGACATTAATTTTCCAGTGTCCTTTAATATTTTTCTCATTTCCTCCATGGGGTTTTTCCTTGACTTGTTTTTTCAGACGTTGGAACATGTAAGCTATGCGATATGGGACTGTGCAAGAAACCCTCTCCTAGTTCATCATGTGTTGGAAAATCTGTACCACCCAGGACAGAACCACCCAGAAACACTAGCCCAGCCCTCACAAGTACAGCCATGCCAGCAGCTGCCTCCTCAGACAAGGCAGAGCGCTGTGCTGACAGAGCTGTTACATTTCCGGTTCAATAGCTGGCTCATGAATTTCTGCATGATTTTGCACCGCGTAATGCCAATTTAGCCTGTTGCTCCACTTTTATTATAAATGCCTTCCTTAAGCTTATTTCAAATTCTAACTGCTGGTTCTAACATTATTCAGCTATTACAAGAGCAAAGAAATTTACAGTGATCAGAAGATAATGGAGAAAGTTCAGTCATGTTTTCTCACTCATAAAGTGAGAATCTACCTCTATAGTGAATATTAACACAATGCCTTTAGGTCCACTAATGCTTCCCAGCAGGCTAACATCCTCTCTGTCATGGGAGGGAGCTCAGAATCCGTGACTGTCCTTCCTCTAACCTTTCACTACATGCAAGACCAAAACAAACATGATCTCCATGTCTCTACAAAAGAGAATTTTTTTCACATCCTCTTTCACTTCACACAAAATGTCTCATAATGACTCCATTGTGTAGCTATAGCTTGGCTTTTAATGACATTTTCCTTTACCCAAAGAATAGACACTTTCCATTTCTATAATTTTTCTCTCCTGTCTTTTTTCTTCCTTCCACCTTCATGTTTTAGAGAAAACAACAGAATTGCTATGTGTTACTGATGTGACACTAATAAAAAACACAGAAGTAAATAGTTGCTGATAACTCGAATATCAGCAGACACAGATATATAGATGATTTTTTTTTATATTTTCATGTGCAATAACTTCACCACAGAGGGGCTTGTGAAGACAGATCTGGAATTTCTTTTTTAATGTTACTAAACCAATATTATTTTTCCTAAGCATCACTGGGAAATTATAAATAATTTAGGAAGAAGTATGGATCTTTCCTCTTGTCGCAAGTTGAATATTTGGACAAAATTATATTGAATTAATTTCTGACAGATTTATTTTGTAATGTAATATTATTATGTGATCACTTTAAGTCCTAAATGCAGTGTTAATAGTACTGTTATATTACTGTATTTTTACAGCAGCACCGAAATCCATCATAAAGAAATTTAGTAATGAATAGGGTAAATAGTAAATAGAGATTAATCTTAGTATGCATAAATAGTGTTCCATAGGTTAATTTATTTGCCAAGGGAAAAGTTTAAAAAGTTCTGGAGCAGCGGTAACCCTGTCATAGGCTTCAAAAAACTAAGAGGTATCTTACAGTATAGAAACATGACTGACGATAAAAGAATATTTTAGAAGAATCCAAAGTAGACCACTTGGAGCATGCACAGATACTCATGGCTATGCATGAGTTGGAAATGGTCTGTGTTCTCTCTTGACCACTATAGTCGCTGCTGGTAAGAAATTCCACAGCTGAAGATCTACCATTGACAGCCTCAGAGACCTTTCCCTGGACTTTGTCATCCTAACAATTATGCACTGATCTCATTCTCTGTTATAGATTATCAATGACAAGGGGTCTTTGGGAATATACATTGCCATCTGACAGAGCACTTTCCGCACAGTGAGCAGAGCCAGATCATTTCAAGGAAGAAGAGTTTAGATTACTCCCGCAATGTATTCTCAACACTTTAGTGTGCAGAGTAACATGGTATATGGGGCCTCGGTGGTTGGCTCTACTTAGAGAAATCTGTGGCAATTTAACACAGAAAAAACATAAGTTAGTGTGGCTCAATCTTCCAACTAAATGGAAAAATTGCACACTGAAAGTGCCTAAAGCTTCCTATCAAGACACAGCCTTAGACAGTCTATGGATTCAAACTCACACACTGACATTTCCTGGGTTGGTACAGAGGTGGATGTAAAAAATATCTGGGTTCTTTGTACCCATAAAACCCAATTTTTTACCAGAGAAACCAAAATTTTTCTCTAGCACTACAACATGAAGAAGTGCTACCGTGTACTGTAATTACCGTGCGGCTATAAAATTCATACACAGTGCACAGAAAGTGCCACACAAAAAACCAAAGAAATTACAAAGTAATGCAGCAGCTCCCTGAATGCTTTTGTAAGCACCTTTCTATCCGCTTCTTATGCAATGAGGTGATTTATCCATGAATCAGAAAAGCAGGAAGGAAAAAAAATAATCCCTGGTGTTTTAAGTTATCTGATAGAGCCTTCAAGTAAATTTCTACTGGTCTGAGCATAAAGGCAGCTAAAAGAATGCACAACTTTTTAGGTACAACTATTTTTGATACAAGCATATCACTGAGTTCCCTCTAAAGGAAGCCACATTCTAGTTACTCTCCTGCATTTCAAATCCTCAATGAGATTAGACTTAATTGTTTGAAACATAAGTGGGGAAGGATGAGGAGATAGAAGCTGAAAGAAAGAATGAAACTGGCATTTCAGAAAAAATATTCATAGCATATTAGTGTCCAGATAATATCATACACAATAACATCATATTCCAGAATGAGACAATTGTTCCTCTATAAATTCAGTACAACAACACTTAGAGCACTGTGTTCAGTTCTGTTATCAGAAGGATGTCAGCAGCTGGGAGGGAGCTTGAAGAAGTGCACAAGTAAGATTAGAGTAGTGAATGTACTGATTTGTATTGAAAGATTGAGGCCTAAATACATGCAACTGGGTTAAGTGATAATTAGAAGAAAATTGCAAGGGTACATGACAGTACATGACCTGAAAACATGTGAAGGGTAGGACAGAAATTATTTATAATAATACAAGAGAAGAAAACTTGGAATAGTAAGGAATAAATTACAACTGCTATACTGAATACAATAAAGACATTTCAGCCAGGCATAAATGATGCAAGGAAAGTTAAACTATGGAAGGTTAGTTTCTACTTCAGTCAGAGCAGAGGATATGATGCTGACATTGATTTTAAAAACAGGTTGCACATAAATGTGTGCACAATTAAGTATGCAGCTACTGTCTGTAAGAGAGAAATAGAATTTACAGTGCTCCACATTTCTTCTAGAAGATTTTAAATTTTGAGCAGCAAGTATGAAATTCTAAAAAATTTAAAGGCTTATGTTGAAGTAAAAACCCCAGAATCTAAAACTGAAAATTATATGGAATTTAGTTTCAAAGGTAAATGAATCAGGAAACAGGATGGTGGTTAAGTACTTCTTTATGGTTTTGAAAAAAAAATCCAAATTGTCACAGGAATTTCAAACATTCTGAAGAGATAAAAATGGTCAAGAAAAAGTCTGCATCAGAATTTAGCCACACTGTAAACAACATGCACCAGACTGCCACAAAAGTTTATCCTTTTATTTTCTAGTATTGCTACTTAAAAATGTGTGATATAACAATGTGATAACAGGAAGTATCTAAAAAAGTGCCTTTTCTGCAGCATTCCTGAAATTTTGCTAGCACAGTAAAATAAAGACTGAAGATAACTGCAGAACAATCTTTAAATTTTTTCCACCTCCTCATTTCCATGCATTGAGGAAGAGTATAATAAGAATATGACAGTATATAAATCAGTAGAATTTGTTGCGTCAAGAATGAAAATGTCTTGAAACTTGTTATGGCCTTTTCTTGAGAAAGTTGCCAACATTAATGTCTTTTGCATCTTGTGCTAGATTATCATTGAAATCCATCTCATCATCTAAGAGTATTGTCCTAATTAAAGTGGCCTAAGTATTACTTTCCAACCACAGGAACTGATGAGACTAGGAAAAGAAACTTTACAGGGATCTATACAGATTGTCACTGGAGACAGGTCAACAGGGATGGTGTGGAGAGAGCAGAAAGGACAGCAACAGGAGAAAGAATCAATGAAATCCAGGTAAACGCCAAATTTCTTAATCTTGTAACGACAATCTATTTTTACTTTCTTTAGATCATTACTGGGAATACCATCCACACCACATGCACAGTGAGTTTGAGACCTTTGGAGACAACCACTTCACAGAACTGCAGAGTGTGCAGCCTCCTCAGCTACAGCAGCTGTACAGGCACATGGAGATTGAACAAATGCATGTCTTGGATTCTGCAATCCCAACCACACACATCGGACTCAACCATCAGGTATGGTTACCAGCACTTACTCAGAATTTTGGATGACAATTAATGCTAAGGAAAATAATGCATTAGGGGATGCATGCTCTCATATGAAAGAGATTGCTGAAATTAATTGCACAAATTCTTCCTGCACTTGATGTAAGACTCTTCATTCTTGGGACAAATGTGGTTTAAGTATTCTTTTTAGCTAGATAATGAGAAGTCATGTTCCTCAAACTGTCTAAAAAGATAATTGCATTTGATGGAGGTGTTTGGAATTTCAAATTTTTTTTAATTTGGAATGAAAATCAACTGTTTTGTAATTCTGCAGATGAACTGGACCTGAAAAGCTTTGCATCATCCTATCAAGGGTAGCTATGACTTCCGAGAAGTATTCTGAGCCTTGAAGCAGTAGAAAAGTTTTAAATATTTCCAAGCAATCCTGACAGTTTTACATGACTTGTGTTAGAAATGCTAACAAAAACAAGTCACTTGTAATTTTACCACAGGCTAAGAAGGACCCACTTGTACTTCTACATGGGAGTAAACAAGTCACAAGCCAAAACACACTGTCCTGTCTTTGCTCAGATTTTACTTGAAGCCAGTCATTTCCCTGTATGAAAAAGATACATCATTATGCAGTAAAGATAGTCACCAATGAATTCTCAGTAATGTTGAAATTATAAGGGGTTCCATCATACTGCAAAGACATTGCGGGTGTTGAGATCACATTTAACTCTTGATCCTACAAGAATGTGCCCAAAGTCATTTCTGGGAGCAGTAGAAAGCTGAGTGATCTTGTGCTAAGGAGTTCCCAAGGCTGGCAAGGTACACACAATGTCCTAAATACAAGACAGAGCAGAACTGAAGTCAGAGAAAAAAGCACTTGCTGATTACAGTTTTGCATATAAAGGTACCGTTGCTGAAACTTTGGAAGCACAAGAGAAAAACAAGAGGAGGTGTTTCTGCTTATCTGAATTCATTCTACTCAGCTATCATCTTTCATTTCAGGATGAAAGGCAGGGAACTAATTTTGTTACAACTTTCGATAAAGAGCACTGTGGTCTCTTTCTGCCCCACCCCACACAAAGCTGCAGATGTTAGGATGTAGAATTCACCATTACCCTCCTTTTCCTTACCAGCTGGAGGCCTTTGGCTTTTTACTTTAGATTTTTTCCTACAGTAGCTCATGCAAATGGTACTTGGCATGCTCTGAGTTTTACCCTCCAATGTGTCTCAGTCACAGTCCCAGGCAAAGAAACAGAAGCAGGAAGCAAGTTTTAATCCTCCACTGAATTTGCCAGTTACTAACTAAACCCAAGCTTGTCATGCAATATCAGAGTTCGAGTTTGTAAATAAAGGAATAACATTCAAATATATTTCTTCAATTTTCTGTTGATATCACGTTGTTTTGTGAAATCAAATTTGAGGCTTAAGCTGCTCTTGAACAAGATTTCTTTAAAAAGTTTTGTTAGCCTGACAACAGGGGTCTCACAAATAATAATATAAGAAAAGAATATTAATTCTGGAGGCAGAATGAAAGAAAAAGTTGAAAAAACATGAGAAGAACCTTAGAAAGAGGAAAACCTCACACAGGTGCCACAGCCCCTGAGACAACAACAGAATATGGAAAGTAGCTAATAGTTTCTTAAGTTTTCTCTCTCCAGAATTGTATTAGTAACCTGGCTCTTTCTAACACACTGGCATGTCCTTTGTGACTCTGTGTAACATAACTGTGTGATACTGTATTGGCCTATGTTGAGTTTCAGGTGAAAAGTAAGTGTAAGTAAAAATACAACAGTCGAGAAAAGCGGGGACAGCATGGGAAAAGCTTACTTAACTCGCCAGGCAGGCCTCTGCGACTACCTTTGCCTGTGAGACACTGTGCCCCTCCCTCCTCCACTACACTCTCCCACCATCCCACTCCATTCCCAGAAGGGCAGTTTCCTTACTCCCACACCACCTCCCAGAGCATTCCAGGTTTCCACAACCTTTTTATCTTCAGGGGCTCCAATGCCTGTTCTCCTCCCCTGTAAGACGCTGTCCCACCTTCTCATTCCCCTTCCCCCATGGCACTCTCTCTGTTCCTTCCCACCCCTGAAACTGCAGCTTTTTTAACTGTAAAAAGCTAAAGGTGACTCTGTGGTGAGGGCTGAAGTTTTGCTCTTGGGGATCTGGCAGGAAGCTTACACACACTCTTGCCCAATCCTGCCCTTCCTGCCCAATCCTCTCCAGCCAATCTGCCGACTCATTAACCGCCAGCTGCTGCACCCCAAAACCAGCCCTTTGCACACGCCTTATTGGGACATTTTAAGCTGGTGCAAAACTCATCTGAAAAGCACCACTCAGCAAAGTCCAACATGGGCTGGGTGGTGTGACTCATGAACACCCACTCCCCACTTCAGTGCCTGAAGTCCCAGGGGAAGGGTGCCAGGTTCAAGATATCCTTTCTCGATGAAGGAAAAGCAGTTCAAAAGAAACTCACCTTCAAGGATTATTATCTGTCCCATTTCATTAAAACTACATTCTATATGTTGCTGGGTTTGTGGGATGTTGGCTGTTTTTTTGTAATGAAGGAATTGGGTTCTTACTCCCTGCCCCTCAGACTGACCCGTTTCTCATTATTAAATAAGAAGCTGCCACAATTCGTGACAACTAGTTGTGATCCCTAGCAAACCAGACTGCAACTGAGAATTTACAGAGCTGAGGTATATTCCACACTACTCCTAACAACACCTCTGTATAAGGGCAAGAGAATTTAACACAAAAAACTTGCTTGCTAGATTTGCAGATGAGAAATCCCCATTAATAGGGAATTTTCAGATAGCCACTCAGGAAAACAGAATGTGAGCCAAGATGGTGTATCCTTTATCTTAGTGTTAAGGCTATTCCTCTCCTCATGGGGGAAATTCAAGACAGAAAGCTGACAGACCTGTGTAACCCCATCTCCAGATTTGGATGCAGTCCTGTAGGGATTCAGTGCTGTCAGAAGGTGCTATGCCTGAGAAAGGAAGAGGACAACAGAGCTAAAGCCAGCCATACTAAGGCAGAACTGTTCAGCTCTTTCAAATTTAAAAGAATAGCTCCAGAAGCAATTTTACTCTGGGGATAAGCAACAGGGATCAGAAAGGCATTAGGTAGAATGCAAGCTGTGGGGACATGTAGGGGAAGAGGGGCAATATTACTTGCAAGGATATAACATATGGGAAAGTTCTGACTTTAATAACCTTATTCCTTCTTCCCTCTTTTAAAAGTGCTTCATTGTACGTGTGTAAGTGATGACTGTTATCTGAAAGTGTTTCTTAATTGGATGGTAGTTATTATAAATGTCAACAACTAAGTCACTCATTATTACACTAAACACTCATATACCTCTTATTTTCTCCCCCCTTTTCTCTGTAATTCTCCTCATTACATTTAATTCTGATGCTCAACTCTCTATCACTGTCTCCTCCCTCTGCTACTCTGTTCTCCAAAAGGTGTCCTATTTGCCCCGGATGTGCCTACAGTACTCCTCTCCACCTCAGCCCAGTTCTGATGAGGAGGACATGGAGAGACAGAGTCCCCCATTGGAGGTATCAGATGGGGAGAATGATGGTGTGGACCCTGGGCCCGGAATTATGCATGGAGAAACAGGTCAGTGAAAACAGAGGGACTTTGTCAAGCCATGTGGTAAGCAGCTGTTATATATATTACCTTGATGATAATTAATGACACTGTGGAACTGCTGTGCTGGTGTTCTATCTCACTGCCATAGGTTTCCTTTCCCTGAGTCCTTGCACCCTTCTGTCTTCCTAATCTTTTACAGCCATAACTGTGTTTATATCTCATTTCTTCATATACCCCCACTGCCTCCTTCTGCTTTGCTTATTCAGGCTTCCTGAATGGAAAGGGCTTTTGCCATTTCTACTCCAAATTCCATTAAGAGATGGGAAAACCAAGGCAAGAAGATCAAGCAAGAACTGATTTTAAAAAGTATTTAGCTCTCTTTGCTCAGTACCTGAGAGTCACATTCTGTATAACCTACCAAAAATAGATTTAGATCAGTGTCAAAATAGCAATGTTTTTCAATTAGCTTCTAATTAGAAAATTAATTTCAGAACAAGGGTTTGGCCTTTGGAATTACTTATTCTTGCTTTTTCTTCTTGGTACATCAATCCACACTATGTCCTCACAGTGTTACACTGTTTATTGTTATAAATGCTGCAAACTGAAGAAGTTACAAGCTAGCTGAAACAGTTATATACTTTCTGCTGTTTCACCAGGAACTGTACACAAATCATAATGCTCCACTGGGTTTCTTTGACTCTCACACAGGCAGCAAGAAAAAGATACGTCTGTATCAGTTCCTTCTGGACCTTCTTCGCAGTGGGGACATGAAGGACAGCATCTGGTGGGTGGACAAGGAAAAAGGTACTTTCCAGTTCTCCTCCAAACACAAAGAAGCATTGGCACATCGCTGGGGCATCCAGAAAGGCAACCGCAAGAAAATGACCTACCAGAAGATGGCACGGGCTTTGAGAAACTATGGCAAGACAGGGGAGGTCAAGAAAGTTAAGAAGAAGTTGACCTACCAGTTTAGTGGAGAGGTGATGGGAAGGGGGGTCACTGATAGGAAGCATTATCCTCACTGAGGCCATGGGACCCTAAGCAAGAAAAATATTAAGACCTCCTGGCTGGATACCAGCAGAGGAGATGGACACATCTTTCTCTTTGCTTCCTGTGCCCCCTTCTCTGCCTTTAAACAGCCTTTACCATCAGATGTTTCTGGTACGAATTCCCTTCTTCAGCATCTGAGAATCCTAACCATGACAGAATTCTTTGCTTCCGTCCTCCAAGTTGGACAGAGTTGGGAAATTTAAACAATGTACAAATATATTATTGTCAGGAAAGATTTTTTTTTTTTTGATTGTATTGTAACTAAAAAATACAGCCGATGAAGTTTTGCCTCCAAAGGTGGTGCTGTGTCACCCGCAGTGACACCGCGATAGCTTTCAGCTTTCAAACTAGCATTAATACAGGCTCTGCCGCAGCTCTCAAGGCTAGAGAGAAGTTTGCAGATCTTGGAATGATACTCGTTCTTTTAAATAGTAATAACATGTACATATTTAATAAAATTAGATATAATGAAGTTCTGGTATTTGCATAATAAATGATTACTTCACAAACAAAGCTTACTCATTCAATTATGCAGGTATAGGTCCTCTGTGATGTCTGAATAAAAGGCATGCAGGGTTATAGGGCCTTTTCCATCTGTTGCTACTTTTTAATTTACCTAGAAACACCATCAGTGCTGTCAAACTCAGTAAAAAATATAATAGGTGAGATACATTACTGTGAAAGAGACTACAGTACTGAAGTAAATTTAAATATACATAGATATATAGATATATGTATTTGTCACTATTTTTTCCAGTGCAAACAAAAGCCTGCCAGTTGAATCATTTCTATTCATGTATACCAAGAATAGCATTTATAGCTCCGTCTGGTCTAACATAAGAATTAGCCATATTCTGCTGTGGTTTCAGTTATTTTCCTATTCCTGTTGCTTCTTCTGGCTTTCCTCCACAGTGATATCTTGATTTTAGCTTATGAAACTTTCTTAGAATTAAGTTGCATTTAATCATGTCTTTGCGGAATTTTAATACAAAAGGGTTTCAAGATTTTAAATGTGGATTTTAGTCCCTACAGTAAAACAACTGATAGTAATTAATAACAACTTCATTGTATAGATTACAGTCAAAATGCAAAATAAAAGATAACTCAATACCTGAGATACCATGGTAAATTTACCCAGTACATCTAAACATAGAAATGAAATTCAAGGTCAATCAAAGCTAAGAAAATGATAATTTTAAATTTTAACATTATTTAACATATCTCAATTGTTTTCAAGCACCCAGAAATCAGGAAAACATCATGACTCTTTCAAAATATATGAGGTGAAATGAGGCAGATCTAGAATGAAGAGAAGGGTTTTGTTTAACAATATTGATATGCAGTACATCATGCCAAATAAGACAATTTGGAAGTCATAACTAAGTAACCTAACTAATTAACTTGAAATTTTTCAGAGCTTGCTCCTCACTGAAACCAAAAATCGTTGGCAGTGATGAGCTTTTTACAGACCTGAGTTCTCAAAACTATATCTAAACATAGTCAGTGTTATCTACACTAACAATCTCACTGTGGAAGTGAAAAGTCTGGTGACAGCATTGGGCTACAGTGTCTCCTTGGAGCCAAACAGGAAGAAGTTCCTGCTTAAAAAACATCACAATGTGCTACTTCCCAGTTCATGAACATGATAAATATGTCAGTCAACAAAAAAATTAACTGAGAGTTAAAAGCAAGTAAGGGCTTCAGAACTTTCTCTATCCAAGACAAGAATGACAAATAGAAATTACCTTTCATACTTATAAAAAATCTTGCAATTCAACTTTTAATTACTGGAGGATCATGTATACTCTCCTAGTCAAATATTTTTCATTCATCTAGGGTTAAAATAAGTCAAATCTATGAAACAAATTAAGAAGATATTTTGTTTCTAAAATTCCACTGGAAAAATTTACCTCCTATAAACCACATCTGCATCCATATTGCAATTTTAGGATGGAAGCTGAAGACACTGAAGGCAGCTCTCAGAAGATTAGAACACTCAGCACTGACATAATATGGGTTTCTTCAATGCTGAACTAGAAACTCAGGACTTTTCTGCTTGGTATTGATGATTCTCCACCACTGACTTGGAATTAGAAAGAAATAAAAGACATTTGCACTCATCAGACTTGCAGATATTCAAGAAAACTAGAGTAATAATTCCTCTCCTCATAAAAATATCTTTATCACAAACATAGCTTGAAAAGCAGAACTGATCCTTCTCTGACGCTATAATTTGGAGGAGAAGGATCATTTCCTCTTGCAGGAAAACTGATAACTGGAAAGAGTCAAATAGTGAGTTAATTTTGGAGATGCTTAGGACATCAAAAAAGCAATTTCAAGCTTATCAAAAGCTTTCTAAGATCAATGACAACTACTTTTCCGTTTTCTTAGTAAGTCTTGTATAAAAACCAATTAGATGCTGGATAAATAATACAAAATTAAAATAAGCATTCAGACCGAAACAACAAGAACTTTTAAATGAGCTATTTGAGCACTGTGTGTTAATATAAAATGTTAATTTAGAGCATCTATTGTACTTGAATTAAAGAATTTGCATTTCATACTGCTTTTGACCACAAGTAATGTGTAAATGGAAGAATCTGAGAAAAATATTTTGGGGGGCAGTATTATTTATAATTAAAACTTTTTAAAAATATTATTAATATACTTTAACAAGCAGGTTTAAAATTTTTGTTATTTCCAAAGTTGGAAACTTTTTCTCTTCCTCTTGTTAATGCTCTGAAATACTGTTTCTAAAAATATTTACTCCCCATCTGTTTCTGGTTAGATTTTTCATCTGTGGCATAAAGAGTGAATAATCATGTGTTGCAGCTGTGAAGGAGACCAAATGATGATGCATTTCTGCCAAAGTACTGTTTGTATCCCATACAATCCATCCTATTCCGGATGATAGGCTGTCTAATCAAGCTTAATTATCACCATTCAGTTGCACATGCAAGCAGAAGTTCTTTGGCTGTTTTAGACAAAATACTGTAATTAATGAGACAAAATCACAGGTTCTGCAAAATTCCAGAGGAGCAAGCATTCCATTTTCTCTGAAGGTGGTGCCGTACCAGACTGGCAGACACGCTGGAAAAAGGTCAGTGAGGTCATTATCTGGAGAGATCACCCATGATTAGCGTAAGTTCATTGGAACATTTTGCAGCCCACTGCTGTTGGAGATCATCAATCCTCTTTCAAAGAAAGTATTCATACTACAGCTGGACATTCAACTTATATATGATCTTTGTAGCCTACTTTAAAAACCACCTTTATTAGCTGCTGGGTGGTTCCTAATCAATTTTTGTGGAGAGATTCGTCAGAGAACTATTGCTGACCTAAATCCAAAATGCTGATTGTAAAATATTTTAGAGTCCTTCCAGCCACACATCAGAGGCGTAGGTGGTATAATCTACTGAGGGATAATCTACTTGTAATAATTTACAGTGATAGCATATATTTTTTAATTCTACTCAGTCAAAGAGAGTTTTAGAATTTCTAGATCTGAGCAATTACACACCTACATCAGAGAGAAATGCAGCAAAAAGGTGCTATTATTTGTTTTTATCTGACAGCCTACATTTATCAAATTCTTCAAACTTCCTGAAAAATACATATGTACATCCCTAATATATCTGCTGGGGTTTTTTTGTCTCCTGCTTCATGAAACTGTATCTCTATAACCCCATTTCAAAATCCATACACTGACAGAGTCTTATAATCTGTATTTGTCTTCTCTTGTTATTACAACAGGGCTTACAGTCTGTATTTTGCACATTTCTTTTCCTCAGTAAACCTGCCTCAGTATTATTTTTCTCTTTGTATCACTTGATTTCTTCATCTTTCTTCCATTTCTTTTTATTTTTTTTCTCCCTCATTGGAATCTCTGCACAAAAAAATTCACTTCATAATCATTGAGCTTAGTTCAAACTATGGTGCCAACTTCATAACTAGTACATATATCACATGACAGTTCAATTCAGTCTATTTATACCATTTCTCTAAATTTTGCTTATACTCTAACTGCACATTGTAAATTCATAGCAGAGACTTTATTACTGGTGACAATAAAATAAGCATTTTTTCTTTGAGAATGTCCAGAAGAGTATTTTCTCAGTGGAAATCCCACTCTTGTGTATTTAAAATGTATGGATTGCTGATAGAAAAGACTATGATGGCACAGACTGTGGGTACCAATTCCAAAGTTTGCATTTATTTCTAATTTATTTTTTGTGGAACCTGCTATCTCACCACATTTTCTTGTTCTAAGCAATACTCAAATCAGATTTACGTAATTTTGCATACCCACATACCTAAAACACTGAAAATGTACACTTGTAATAAAAAAGCTACTGTAATGAACCTACTGATATACTACAGGCAAGTAGACAAAGAGCTTTGCTCTTTAAACCAACTGTAACAACTTCACCAAGCTTCACCTTTCCTCTTTAACAAATTTGCATGTTGCAATTCAGGTGGCTTAGTTGAGCCTGTGGTATTAAGGAGGTCTGTATATAACCGAAATTATCAGAGTCCTATTCCAAGAGCTGGGGAATGTGAACTTCTTCCAAAGAACATGAAAACATCACAAGGCTGAAGATATTCTTTCTCATTTTCTCACTTATAACTCATCTGTGTCTGCCTTAGCCCAACGCCTCTCATGAGATGCTCCTCACAGAGCAACCTAGGTTGGAAGGGACCTTTGGAGGTCACATCATCCAACTCCCTACCCAAAGCAGCCCAATTAGATCAGGTTTCTCAGGGCAACTTTCTCTATATTCTGTGTTTCTTTCCATTCTCTCCACTTATACAGCCACATCCTCCTTCTTCATGGCTTTAGTTCCCCACAGTGTTACTTTTTACTATTGGGGAGCCAAAGCAGTACGTGAGAATGAGCAGAGCAGTCTATGGACAGGAGGAGAATGAGGATGTGGTAGAGCAGATAAGGTTTAGCAGGAGGTGGTGGAGGAGAAAGAAGGGTGGGAGGAGGTGCTGGGGAGACCAAGGTTATGCAAAGGATTGGGGAAGCGGCTTTGTGGTAGGAAGGAATGCAGTTTCTGTGCTTTAAGGGCTCCCTCCGAGCTTCTGTTTTAACTTCCCAGCAGTAAGCAGCAGTGCTCTTGATATGAGAAGCCCTTCGACGACTAGTGCCTTTGTGCAGAATGCTTTGATTCCTCTGCCTTATGCAAAGTTAAGAATGTTTGGGTGCTGAGCTGGGCATTTGTGTATACAAATCAGTTTGGGGTTTTTTAGATTTAACTAGCTAATTTTCTGAGTTTTGAGTGTCTGCTTTCAGAAACATAATTCTAGATGTCTTCTTTCGACATTCCCTCTTCCACTTTTTTCCGACTCACCAACACTGTACTTTCCCTTCATCAGCCAGTCCAAACTATCCATTCTGAGCATTTTGTTCAGCTTTTCTCTATATCTACACTCAGCCACCAGATGCCTCCATATTTAGTAGATCCCAGGCCCTTTATCCTCAATGTCCATTTTGAACTTTTGCCCA